ATCTTTGAAATATTCTGTAGCATTTAAACAGTTTAAATCAGTTGAAGTAAAGTAACTTATAGAAGTATAAAATTGTAGTTTTTCCAAACACAATTTGACTTCTTCCATTGGTGTATGTGATTATTTTTTAGAGTAGTTTTGTTTTACAAATTATGTTTTAAATACTTAAATATATGACTTGTTTTCCAAGTGGAAAGTTTTATTTGGTATTAAAAATCATATGTAACTTGCTTTTACAACTAAAACATTTTTAAAAGGATAATTTTGAAGATTCTATAGCTTGAGATCATCTTCTGGGTAAGCAGACAAAATTATAGATAAGGCTTAAAATTTACTGATTTAAATGATCTCATGAGGCATTTTATATAATATATAGTTCTTATTACTTAAACGTTATATTTTAGTGAATAGACGTTCTGTTTTTTTAAAACAGTATGAATTACATCTACTGGCCTGTGCATTTGACAGTCTTAATGAAGACAATGTACCCTCAGATAAAGTTTTAACATGCGTTCTCCTGTTTATAGGAAAAACCACCATCTGATCCAGTGTGCTTTAGACTTCTCGGCCACAGAGAACTGCACAACCCAAAAAGATTTAATTACCTGTTTAAGGAATGCATATCTCTCCTTTGGATCCATCCAAGCCCATATCTGCTAACTTCATTTTCATGTCAGAAATGTAAACTATGGAATTAATGGAAAATATTTTTTTAATATTTATAGATTTTATTTAATTTTTTTATGTATTTTTTTTTTTTTTTTTTTTATTCTGACATCATTTTTTATTACTTAAGCATTATACTTTAGTGAGTGTACGTGTTTGTGTGGACGTCCTGTATTTTTAAACAGTGTAACTTACATCTACTGGCACATTCACTCAAGAGATGATGGTTTCCCCTACAAAGGGAGATGCAGGTTTGACCAGTGTTGGAGAGTACATTTTTTTTTTTTTATTATTAAGACTCTTGAATGCACAGGCTGGTTGATATAACCCAAACTGTTTTAAAAACAGGGTGTCTAGTCGAACACTATAATATTTAAGTAAGAAGAAATAATGTTGATTAAACAAAATAAATTAAAAGTAAATGAATTTTATTTTTATTTTATTTATTTATATATATATATATATATATATATATATATAAAGCACATACAAAAATTTCATTTTCACTGTTTATATGACATCACCTTGAGTGATTTGAAATTGATTCCATCAAATGTGAAAATGCTAGAATTAAGAACCAGTTGCATAAACTATGCGCAGAACAATCCTTGAAAATTAATAGAGCATCTTTCAAAAATAATCAGGAGGAAAAAATAATATAAAATAAAAGTTAATATGAATTTTGTTAAATTTATCAATAAAACAAAACTTATTTGGAAATTTTTAAAAGATTTAAAAAAAAAAAAATAACAAACAGAACTTGTCCATATTATTTAACAAAACATGTTTGAGAGAATTCTTGCTGCCAAAATACATCTTATGTTCAAACAGGTTTGGTTAGATAATTTAGACATATCATGTCGATTAGTTTTCATTGTGATCCTTTCAAGTTCATGGATTAATTTCTTTACAGAAACACATATACATACTCAAAGACAACTTAAACCCCTGAAGATGGTCTCAGATAAGATTGAAAGTACTTGGGAAAATAAAAACTATTTGAAAGAAAATTTTGGCATTATTCTTAATCAATTTTCTAAGGCTACCAAGAAATGAATCCATGAAATGGAAAGGATCACAACGAAAAGTAATCTACATGATATGTCTAAATTATTTAACCAAACCCATTTGAATGAAAATATACTGCCTAAATATATACAATATCTCTCTTTCTCTCTATCTATCTATCATATATATATATATATATATATATAGTCATCCACAGACAGACTGTTTCGCTGTATCACAGCTCATCAGTGTGGTTAGACATCCGGTTGCCTCTAGCTAGGATTGAAACCCGATTGAATTGCGTCAGTCGGGGATTCCACCACTAAGCCGTTGGCGCACAGCACGGATGAAGGTGAATTTTAAGTGTATATATTTTTAGATAAACACACAGTGACTGAGAGAACTCAATTTGATTTACCGAAGAGTCTTGCATTATTAGCTGTAATAGTCACTGTTTACAAACTCACACTTCCTCCCCAGAGAGCTCAACCGAAATAAATTTTTCAGGAGCATATATAGGATTAATGTGAGTAAAATTTGTCACTGAGCTGATTGATGTTAACTTCAGCATCCCAACTCCAGAGTTTCATAGACAGACCTGTCCATCCACTATTCGGGGAGTAGCAGCAATTTATATATATATATATATATATTGCAAGGAATAGATACAAATTATTTCCTAAAGGCATTATGAAAAATGAAAAAAATAAAAAATAAGAGATGATAACACTTACAGAACAGACCAACCGGTTTCGTTCCCAAGCTCATCAGGGTCGACTGGGAACAATTTAACAATTATTGCAATATATATTGACTCACACAAACACCCTACATACAATTAAAACATTAAAAATGAAATGATTAATGGTGTGAGGGGAAAAAAAATATATATATATTTCAAACTGTGCGAATATGCACAGCACAAGGGGAAAAAAAAAAAAAAAAAATAATTATAACGAGGAGTGTGAGGGGAAAGTATGATAGACACTAGAGTGTAATAACGTGAAGCCCAAGGAGACAGTCTCTTTGCTTGCACAGAGACGGCTCCCTGGACTGAATATACAGAGACTCAAGTGCTCTCAAATGAAATGGAGAGTGCGAACTGGACAGTACAGTAAACCAATTCGGACTGAAGTTCTTCACACAATCCCTGCAATTTATTAAATGTTCAGTGATCGCTGACCCGGAAGTATTAACCAACTGGCTCTTACGAGCATCCGGATTAAGAACTCGCAATGGGACATGCTGCCTGATCCTACAATCTAAACGTTGGGAAGTCCTTCCTATGTAGTTGCTACCACAACCACATTTAAAAGAATATATCACGGAAGAAACATGATGGGGAGGAAGAGGATCCTTACGCATAGAGGGAAAGGCAGAACGAGTCGCAAAATGAATTCTTAGTTGAGCAGAGAAATAGCAGTGATGGACAGCAGACAAGACCCACCTAGCCACAAGCTCGCCCCGAGAACCAATAAATGGAAGCTGCAAGTAAATAGGACATTTCTGAACTAAGTATTGTTTTTCCTTTCGAAAATTAATAATTTTATCACGCATGACACTATCAAGAATATCACTAGGATATCCATTTTTTAATAGAGTGCAGTGGATAAAATCCAATTCTTCATCCAAATATTGTTCGCTGCAGATCATCAAGGCCCTATGAGTTAAGGTCTTGATGAGATTGATTTTGCGCTTTCTGGGACAAAATGAGTCCCAATGCATATACAGACCAGAAAACATTGGTTTGCGAAACACCGAAGTAAATATATATATATGTGTGTGTGTGTGTGTGTGTGTGTGTGTGTGTTTGAGAGTTATTAAATAGAATGGAAAAACATTTGATAAGCTTTTTGGTGAGTTTCTCCTAGTGTTATTTGATAGTGGGTGGGAACTTGTGAAACTTGGCAAAATTGTGTGTTTCAAGTATTTTGGGCCATTATTGATCATTTTCATGGAAGGAAGGGAGAAGTCAAAAGATAGCCAGTGTAGTGTGTATACTGTAAACAGTCTAGGGTTTGAAATGAATGTGAGTCCACATGCAATGATGATGTCATGTGATTAAATTGAACTTACAATTCAAAGGAATTTTAACACATGCACTGTATGTGTTGAGATTGAAACAAATTTTATTGATGATAGGTTGCCATTGTTTGATTTGAAAAACCGCCAAAATTTTTAATCGGACTGTTAACAGCATGTCTATGTACGCCAACAAAAGCATGTTCAAAAGGGTATATTTTGAGGAACAAGCAAGAATTTGTGTTGGCTTTCAAACATTTTCTTGTTCATTCTTTAATTTTATTTCAACCTTTTGTAAACTCTGACCTTCCACAACTGTCCTTTGTATATAGAACCTTGTTCTGATCAGGCACACGTGTCATATCTGGCATCTCTTCCTCCAAGATCTTGGAACTGTCCTCACATGATCTTGACCTGTATGCTGAATTTGTGAATTTTAACAGTAATCCTATTATGGTCATGTTTCTAGAACTTCAAAGTCATTAAAAATAAAGAAAACAATAAAAAAAACATCAGAAGAAATTTTGACATTTTTAAAGTACAACATGCACTAAAGAAAGAGCAGCATGTACAACAGCAAAGAAGTTGTGAAAAAAAAAGAAAAAAAACAAAAAAAAAAACAAAGAAACAATTCCATTGAGTATAAAGCTAAAAACAATAGTTTGTCAGCAGTTGTGAAAGGTTTATGTATACAACATATATACTGCATGCCTGAGAGTTTTTCCAGAATAAATAATTTTTGTGTTATAAAAGAATTAATTATTGATAGTTTTTATTATCTTCGTTGCATTCATGATGATTGCTTTAATCCCACATTCCTTCATTTCTTATAATTTGTGAACAAACAACATTAATAATGTATGCAGAGAAAGCCCGTGTTTCCATATACGATTCTCATGTAAGACAAACTGAGTGAAAAAATGTTGAGAGGTTATAGTTTACAGTTTCAATAGCAAAAAAAATCAGTTTGGATTCAGTTTTCTCATTCTAATTTATCATCTATCATTTTCAAAAAAAAAAACCCCAAAAACTAGGATAACCATACAACGAGCAGAGACTAACCTTTCATCATCCTCTCACATTTTTTATAGTAGAAAAGTAATATTTATGACCTGAAAAATGAAATCATCATGTAGTGGTTAAATCTGTTTTAATTGCCAAATGTAGGAATGCAAATTTAATTTTTAAAATACTCAAAAAAACCAAAAAAAAAACCATAAGCAAACAGAAAAACAAGCAAATTTCTTGACTATGCAATATAAATTAGACTTTTTCTGAATAACTTTTCACATTTTGATTGGCAGGAATTATGCTCCCACTCTATGGCCACAAGCAGAAGCTATCAAAATTGGGTGTCAGCAAGTTCTTTGGCTGTTTGGTGAGGACCATCAAATGACTGAAGTTGGAACAATGAACCTGTTTATGTTTTGGACCAATGAACAAGGAGGTTAGTTTATCTATATTATATTTTAGACCAATGAGCAAGGTTACTTTATCTATTGATAATAGTTTTGAGAAGAATTATCGACTTTTCTTTTTTTTTTTAACTGAATGTGCAACTTTCTGCTTTATTTTACACTTTGTAATTATAAGAGATTCAATAAATTGAGTTTAAAAAAAAAAAAGAGAAAACATTATTTACAGTTGGATTAATGTCCTCATCTTTGTTGTTGTTATCACAATGTTTCAACCATTGTGTCCTACAGTCTTTCCTCTAATAAGCTTAGAATTTGATTGCAAGACTTTCTGTGAAAAAAAAAAAATCCTCTACTTCTTTGTCTCTTTCAGAAAAAGAACTAATTACTCCACCTTTAAATGGTATCATCTTGCCAGGGATCACCAGGAAGAGTCTGTTAGAATTGGCCCATAGCTGGGTAGGCAAGAGTTTTGTTGGTTTATTTTTGTTTTGTTTTTTGTATTATGTATGCATTGTTATTACTAATTCTAATTGCAACTTTTTGACTACTTTTGGAAAAAGCTGTCTTGACTTTTAAATGTAGCCGAATTCCCTATTTGTACCCATCAATATTTGATTAAAAAGTGAATATTAAATGGGGGATCACTTTTCTTATACAACAACTGATAAAACGATCCTCCACTTTCTGGCATAGATTCCATATATTTCTCTATACTTGTATACAGCTTTAGCAGATTGGACTACATTTTGATGCTTTTTACATTATTATTCATTATTATTACTTATATATTTTAAAATCTTAAATATTTAACATTATTTTTTTCTGAATATAAGTCACTAATTCAGTAACATGCAGAAGTGGGTAGCAGAGTTTGCAATGGCCCCAAGTATCCATATCAGGAGGGTATCCAATTAAAGAATGAAATAAAAGTTTAGTTTATATTTAATTTAAATAAAATGTTTATTTCATGTTTCATCTGTTTTTACATCTTTAAAATGTCTTCCTTTTTCCCATTTCTTAGTACTAGTCCTTATAGCCTCCCCTCACACTTGAGTCTTAAGGATAAACAATCAAGGAGTTGGACCTGAGCATCACCAAATCTCTGCACTAATTATCATGATTGGCTTCTCTCATGCCAGCTTTTTATTTTACTGCTGCCGGCATGGTAAGAACACTATGAGAGAGTAGCTCATTCATCCTCTTTTCTGTCAACCGTCATGGCATGCCAGGAACAAGACATTTTTTTGTTAAGATATTTGGTAATGGCAATTCATACTTTTGCCTATGAACATGTATAGCCTCATTAGAAATTTGAACTTGATTTCAAGGCTGCTATTTTTAGAAGGTACAACATTTTGAATTTTGTTATTTCCAACATTTTCAAATAAGCTGTGCTAGTAACGAGATGAATCATTTCAAAATTGATATATGCCAGCTTTTTAAATATCATCCAATTCACTACTTGTAGACTATCAATATTTGATTAGCAAACACGTGAATATTAAATGGGTGATCACTTTTCTTTTTTAACCCCAGTCATAATATGATTGCCCACATTTTGCCATAGTAAAAAACATCGATTAAACAAATAAGTGGAGGATCACTTTCTTTTATAAATCATAAAAAGATAACCCACTTTTTGTCATAGTAGAGTCAATATATTTCTCTTGTTGGCAGGTTTTCCAGATTGGGTTGTAATTGTAACTTTTTGGACTACTCTTTTAGAATAAGGTGTCTTGACTTTGAAATGTAGCCCAATTCACTATTTGTATCCATCAATATTTGATTAACAAGGAAATATTAAATGGGGGATCACTTTTCTTATACAACAACTGATAAAACAATCCCTTCACTTTCTGGCATAGATTTCATATATTTCTCTATACTTGTATACAAGTTTAGCAGATTATACCACCCAATATTACTAAATTTTGAATTTCACTTCTTGCAACTTTGGGCATTAATTTTACTGGCTTAATTTGGGCTACTAATTAGAATAAAGTCAGTTCCAAATTTCATCATTGTGTGTTTTCAATTATGGTCAAGTTTAGCAGCTCTGCTTAGTTTATCAATCCCATTTACTATGCTGATATCACTTAGACTACAATTTTCTACAGTTTTTGAGTGATGTGCTTCTTTTTTGCTTTTAGGGTGAGTTTAAGGTCTCAGAAAATGTTATAACCATGCAGCATCTTATCAAAGGCCTTGAAGAAAAAAGAGTAAGTTTTGCTTTGTCAAAATGTATTACTAATAATTCTCTTTAAGTTATTGTGATTATTTTTGCTTTTAATATCAGATGTGTAGCTGTTAATGTTTATTCTAATATAAATTGTATCCCCCACACAAAAAATTAGTTTCTTTATCATGGATTAGGACATTCAAAGGTACTTGGGAACAATATTAGTTAGACATATAAGCAAAATGCATATATGTCTGTGTTCTATCAAATAGAATATCCACTTGAAAATATGGAAATAAAAAGAATTTGCTAACAATTTATTGAACAAATTTCCTTAAAAGTGATTTTTTTAATCATTTCACCCCAAGAAAAACAATAAAGCCACTAAAACGCAAGGGGTTACTGAGTGCAAAGGAACAAAAAAAATAAAACATTAAGAAACAAGAACAATAAAAGACCAGGTGTTAAAAAGACGGAAAATAACAAATGACATTCCATTTAAATTTTTGAAGATCAAAGTTGACTAGATCTTTCTTGTATTATGTAACTGTTGATGAAGCAGTCAATCAAGTTTGTGCCTTCATGAAGGCATTCAAGCCATAAGAAATTGATTCATGCCTTATTCCCTGCAGGAGTTGAGTAATTGTGCATTTACAAAATCTTCAATGTATAATTTGTATAAATGTCTTTTTTTTTCTTTTATTAGACATTTTAAAAAAAAACATTTGTTTTCTATATTACTCCCTGACTTTAAATTTTCCTTTTTGAGCAAACTGATTCTTTTAGAATAAATACTAAAATTAATTCATTTGATTACTTAAATTATGTCATTAGTTCTAGAACATATAATGAAGGAAGAGGGCTTGGAAAATTTGATACTCATAGGACATACTGAAAGCAAGAGGGACTTAAACAGCGAGTAACCTACCTAATAAGATTATGTAAATGGATGGCAGAACAGGGATTGGAAGGGTTGGTAAAAAGACAAACCTTACTAAGAGCTATAAAGGATAGGAAGTTGTGGAGAGTCATGATCACACATGTCCTGAAGAGACATCCCTTAGAAGAAAACAAAGATTCTTTTTTAAACAACTTCAGTATCTCTCCACTTTTAAATCGTGTTGTTTGCAAAACAAGTGTGTGTGAGTGCACACATACATTTAATTCTTACCCGAGATAAAAGAATGTGTTCCTAGCTTAAGTGCTCAGTTTTGGCCACTTCATTTGAAGTGCCTTTATCTCTCTTCAAGCTGTTCCTTGAAGAAAGTTATCTTTCCATGTTTTTTTTTTTGGTCTGATTTAGTGCAGAGAACAGATCTGTGTAAGCTGTTATAAAGCACTTGTTGTAATTGTAGACAAACCATTGAATATTTATGGAAAATAAAGTGTGAAAAATAAACCTTTGTACATAAAGGACTGTAGTCTTAACACTTTCATGTTTTTATCATTATTTTCAAGCAGTAAATCAGGTTTTAACATGAATTGAGAGAGAAAATGAATTATCTACTGTCTTAATTCCTCTTCTTTTATTGTTCTTGATGTTTAATAATTCTTTTCTTTTTTTCACACAGTAACACCTTGTGTCTTAGTGACTTTATTGCCTTGCTTGAGGTGAAATAATTTTTAAAAAAATGATAAATGTAAAAAAAATGGCATTTTTCTTGCATTTGAAGAATGAAAGGCATTCTGAAAAATTTTAACTAATCAATCTATTTCACCTTTCTTTTTTTTAATTACTGCTATTACAATGTAGAATATTAAAAAAAAAAAAAAAAAACAATGAAAGGCTGAATTAAGTCAGGTAGGTTGTGCACATGGACACATTGGACATGAGAAAGTTAAAATTTAAATTGAAGCCTCCCTGCATTTTCAGTGTTTCTCTTGATGCTTAATTATAAACAACATTTGTTTATATTTTCATTCCCTACATTTATATATATATATATATATATATATATATATTCCATCAATAAAAATATTATTTAGTCTGAAGAAGTCCTTTTGAAGGATGAAACACATTACATAGGATTTATTTCTCTATTTTGCCATTCAATTATCTCTTAATCTGATATCCTCAATATCAGTCAGTTATATGCCATTCGTGATACACGCTTAGGCAATCATGTATCTTTTGATACATGTCTGACAAGGCAGATTTTTCCCCGCAGTAGGTTGCCATTTCTTTCTACAGTAGACTAGTTGCCACCCAAGGCTATAAAACCTGCTATTTACTCATAGCTGGTGGGTGAAGAGGATTCATACCTTTCCAAAAGGTATTAGATCTGTAAGTGAATGCAGTGGATTTGACTGGAATTCAAACTTGGCTCTCTGATTCCTCAATCTAAGCCACTATCCATTACCCCACCAGACCTCAATATACATATTATATATTTATTTGTTTATATTTATTTATATATATAATGTATGTTTATTTATTTATAATGTATAATTTAATATAATGTATAAATACTACAATGTATAATATAATGTATATTTATGTATATATAATGTATATTTATTTATTTATGTTCATTTATTATGACATTTTATATTATTTATTATACATATTTATACCCTCAACCGTTTCCTTACATCCAGACTTGAAAAATGCTTAACAAAAGTTTTACCCCCACTAGACACATCAGACCATTCCCTAGTTTAAACCAATTTTTTTTTTCTCAGCCACATTTTTGGAATTAAAATTTGCTTGCACCTCACCAAATTTTATACGATAAAAAGTACTTTTAAAAATAAATAAGAGTGGGTTAAAGGGATATGACTAGAGAATCAAAGTCAGAACATTATCATTGATAACTCTCTCCTCTAATTTGCAAACCCTAGTTGTTATATCCTTAGTACTTGATACAATGCAAAAATATCACGATAAAATTGGTTTATAACTTAGAACTATTTATACTGTGACTCATGTATGCAATTACAAGTAATCTATAATATTTTAAATTTTGAAATCATATTTATTTTTAAACTGTTTCTAGATCTTAGATTGTCTTTCAATCATTCTGCCTCACCTGCTATCTTCTTCCACCACACCTCTGAGGCTCACCATAGTGTTTGGAAACCACTGTCCTAGTCAGTATCCAAATTGATGCCAAACCAAAGGCAACCTCTGATTTGCCATTCCATGGACTGATTTTCACTGCACAATAACAGACTGGGAAGGCTTGAGATCTTATATGGTGGAAGCTCCTTATTTCAACTTTCTTCAAGCATGTTGCCTCCGAAAATGCTGTCCTCTTCTCTGAATTGATCCTTTCTGGAATAGAGAGTTTTATACCCCCCCCACACACACAACCAAATTCCAACAAAAACCTAGTTCACCTCTGAATGCACTGCAGCCATATGCAAAACCACTAACATAAACATATGACATATAACCACTACTTAAATATCTATCACAAGTAGTATAGTTTGAGTCTTACTGCATTCAGAACCACTTGTAATCTGTGCAAGAAAGTTCTGGAAAATGTGAAGTGTAGCAATGCACAAGCAGTGTAGACCAAAGTTGAAAACAAAGATCTGCTGGAAGATCTCCAAGCAAATTATGATAAAGACAAAGTGGCTGTACATGGCCCTGACGTGATATGTTCTTCTACAGAAAAGGTGAAGCTCTTTGCCTCAAATTCAATGTTACATGACAAAGGCCATCTCATTCCCACAATCTCAGTAATATCTTCATTACAGCCTGAGAAAATTTATCAAAAGAAAGCTGCTAGCCTAGACAAAATCTCAGTCATTGTCCACAAGAATATGAATTCTAGAAAAATTTTTTAACCGATGCTTGATGGAGAAATATTTCCCAAGCCTGTGAAATGTGTCAACTGCATACCCAGTTTTCAAGAATGCAGGCAAGTATTCATTTCCCTCCCAGTTTAAACCCATTAGTATCCTCAGTATCATTAGCAAGATTTTTTAGGCTATAATCAACAAGGTTGTTGAACACATAGATAAGAACATCCTCTTGAGAGATAAGAAATACAGGTTTCAATCAGCCGAATCCTGTACTGTTGTCCTACCATTACTCACAGAATCAGTGAGGCAATTGACAACAAATACCTGCCAAAGACCATAGCATTAAATATTTTGAAGGTCTTTGACAAGGCATGGTACAAAGGATTGCCACTCAAGCTCTAGCTATGGAATCACTGAAAGTATCTTTTCAATAATAAAGTCCTTCCTAATGGATAGGTCCCTGAAGGTAGTTAACTAGTCCTCCAGGGCCCTAGCAACCAAAACAGGCATCCTCCAGGTGTCACTTTTCAGACCAACCCACTTTTTACTTTACATAATTGATCTGCCTGAGTATACTCAGATCATTTGTGAATATTTATGCTGCTGATATGGGTGCACCTCAAAAACTTGTGATGGCCAGAGATTGGCAGCTGATCTCTCATCCAATCTAGCTCTAACATCAATCTGGGCAGGGGAAACTAGCTGGTTACATTCAATGCCTTGAAAACCAAACTAGCTACATTTCATCATTGCCAATCAGACCCTGAACTATGAATGGATATTCCCTCAGGGAGGCCACATACCTTGAGTGATTATCGAGCCTTAAACTCACTCCAGATCTCAAGTGGAACTCATACATATGATCCATTGCTAAAGATGCAGGAAAAATGGTCAGTTCCTTGTTCTGACAATAAAAGCCAAGCTTTCAACAGCATTGGAATACATTTACTACAACCAGTTTTTAATCAAACACACTTTTCAGTTGCCATTTTCTCAGTCAAGGCTACAATAGAAGAATGAAATTAACACACTTAAACAGAAAAATAGCAAACTAGAAGAGGAATATTTTTCACAATTAATATGACTTTATTTTTTGTGACAATCTTAAAAGTTGGTTATCATTACATTAAAGCAAGATTCCCAAACATATACATAAGTGAATTTTGATGTACAATGGTTAGATTGTAGTATTTCACTTCTGAAATGAGCAATTGTCAATATACTTGCATTATTTCAAACTATCTTGCTTGATTTAGCACAATGTTTCAACCAAGTACCTTCTGGTCTTCATCAGGTGTCCACTGTTGGACTGATATGGATATCTTTTGATTATCAAGTTATTTTGTTCCTGTCATGTCAGTTATAGTCCATTCCTGCTGAACCGGTGCTTCACTACAGCAGGACTGAACAATAACTGATATCACAAGGACAAAATAACAGTAATCAACAGGTATCCCATGTAAGTCAAAAAGCAATGGATACCTGATGATGACTAGAGAGTACTTGGTCGAAACATTGTCTATAATAACATCTATACCTTTTCAACTTCAAAATGGACTTATTTTCAGGTAAAAAAATTAATCAACTTCAAAATGGATCAATCAACTTCAAATTGAGAAATAATCAACTTCAAATTGAGAATTAATATAATACTAATAAATTTAATATTTATTCTTTTATTTTTACTTAAAAAGAGATATAAAAAAATATAAACGTTCCTAAGAAATTTATTTAAAAGATTTACATCATCTAAGTTAATTACAGAGGGAAATAATCTCTGTATTCCAGATACGAAGTTAGTGCAAGTCTCAGGGAAAATATTATTAATTGCTTCGGAGATCATCGCTTCTAACTTGCTGAGGCAGAATTCTTTAGTAGTTAAAGGTCCCTGGCCATCACCTCTTAAAATCCCAACAATTGAATATAAAGGATTGGCACACTTTGGGACTGAAATTCTAATAAAGCTACTGCGTAATCCTTACGTTTCGCCTTATTGACATTACTATTGGCAGCTTCTGGTTCATAATGAAGCGCTTTTAAAGTAAAAGCCATGGAGTCCAAGTGCTTTCTTATGCATTCTTTCGTCACACGAACCTCATACTTTTCGACCAACTTATTTACAATGTCTTGAAGAGTGACCCTAGGAGAGAGTTTTCAATTAATTCGACCATAAAGTTCTTATGCTCTTGCATAATTTTATATTTTCTTGCTCCTCCCCTAGAGTCACTCTTATCAGCACCCTGGTCTAACCAACAGTACGCTGTTGGCAGAGGCACACCAATTGTCCTTGCCAGGTCTTTCTAATTTCTTGCTGTGGCATGTGCAGCTAAAATCTGGGCCTTTTTTTTTCGCCAGCCACAGTTTTCTTGGGGTAAGTCCTCTTTGGAGCTGTTGCTAATTCTTCTTCAGCTTCTTTTGTAAGAGGTTTCTCCAGCATCATCATTTTTGCCCATTTGGTACTTTCTGCTCCTACTTTTACTGTAGGTTCACCCAATGCTTTCTTGGCCTCTAAGTTGTTTGTATTTTGTTTTTTTTTCTTCATCTATATAATGAAGATGAACTGTCAATTTCCTTACTCATGGGGTAAATTAATTGAAAAAATAATTTTCAGTTTACCAAAAAAATCTCAATTTGAAGTTGTTTATTCTTATTTTGAAGCTGATTGTTTTTAGGTTTTTGACATTTTCTCAATTTGAAGTTGATTAATCCAATTTGGTGTTGATTAATTTTTTTTTACTTGAAAATAAGTCCATTTTGAAGTTGAAAAGGTATAGATCAGCCAAAATGAGAACATTACTTTTGAAATAATACCAGTACAATGGCTGGCAGATTGTATTGTTGGAAGAGTAATGAAATGTAACCAATGTGATTTTATTCAATTTATTTTGTATGCTTCTCACAGGTTGAAGAGGTCTTTGGGGCTGGAACTGCTTGTGTTGTTTGTCCTGTAGAAAGAATTTTGTATGAAGGCAAAAATCTACACATCCCCACTATGGATAACAATGCCGTACTGACCACTCGTTTTCTGAAGGCCCTTACTGACATTCAGGTATGACATAATTACTTTCAAATAAATAAAATGATTTGATGAATTTCATTGTTGGATATGACTTCTGAATTATGCTCTTACACATGGTGTAATCCAAAGTGTTAGGAAGAAAAGGACTGGCATTATTGAGAAATCAAGCCAAATCTCTATTCAATGAAATTAGTGTGAATGTTGTGGAGAACGTTCCGTTCCTATATATAAATTTTTTTAAAACCACTAATGAATATAATAGCCCTATTCTGTTCGTAATGTTTACCTTAATGTTTGGCCAGACAAACTGTTTCTTTTTATTTTAATGCACCAGAGTTCAAGGACTTGTTGAAATATTGTAAAAATTAGCATTTTTTTTTTCTACTGCTAGAAATATTTAGATTTGTACAGAAAATGAGTAAAGTTAAATATAGGAGGGAAAATTTGTGGGCAGCCATTAAAACTAGAAAAAAAAAAAAAAATTTTTTTTTAAAATGCTGAAACCTCACCCCACCGCCCACTGTTCAAATATGATCACTACTAAGATGCAATCATGATAATGGCTTCATTTTTTTTCAGCACTACCCCATGACTAGAATTTGTTTATAAATATAATACCTTTTCTTACTGTTATGTATGTATGTGTAACAGACAAAATTGGAATGAATCAGTTTTGATAAAATCTTCACTTGTAATTTTAAAAAAATTTTTTAATCCAAAATATGACCATGAAAGAATTTTTTTTTTTCACCCCTGTATTTTAATACAAAGTTTATTCCTATGATGATAGTATATAATATTTGAAAATGATGAGTTAAAGTGATTTATGTTCCCTAATTAATTTTTGGATTTCATCTGATATTGGGTAGGATTAGACACCTGATTGGACTTTGAATTATAAGAAGAGTTTATTATTAACCTTATTTTTGTTTGTAGTTGTTTTATTATTGAAAATAAAACAGAAATATCTGACATGAGTAGAACATGTAAACCAGGTATTAAGCAACACCTAACCGAAAAGATTGACCTTCTGAATTATAAATCTAAAGGGGAGCGTTTTAAACAGTGTGCAAATGTGGATATCAATAACAGCAAAAGATTTGATTGAGCAGGGTGGTGGGTGAATATTTACAGTATGGTGAATACTCTTCTAAGACCTATGAACAAATAAGCTATGTTGAATTTTGAATCCTCATTCAGACTAGAGAAATTATTTTAGTTTTGTATGGAGATGCTATCTTTATTTTTACAATTTACTTATCTTCAGTACCAAAATGATAGATTTAAAATTTTATTGTTAGTTTACTAGAAGCAGTCATTATGTTGTCAAACCATTACAGCTGATTTCATTTGTTTTAACTTAATTGTGTACAAGAGGAAAACTTTCATGTTTTTTTTCTCTCTCTTTTTAGTTTGGACAAGTGGAACATAACTGGGCAGAACCAGTAGAATAAATTGTGTTGCTTCTTGTACCAACCATGGCATCATCTCCATAGTGACCAGATCTCTCTGATCAACTGATGGATGAGAGAAAATAATGCACACTTTTACATATTTTTTCTATCCTTTTGTTTCTGTCCATTTTAATCTTTATTTTCAATTGTTGTTGCTGCCTTTGCATCAACAACTCCTCTGGGAAATATAACAGTCTTTGTGATATGCAGAGAAGGTTTTTTTAAAATAGTATTATTGAAAAGATATTGTGGTATATATATATATATATATATATATATATATATATATATATATATATATATATATATATTATTTTTTTTATTTGGAAAAATAGATTTGAATTTCTAAAGTGTCATTAATATTTGATTTTTGGAATGATACTTTCTTGCCATCAAAAATATTACAGGGTTTGATTTTTACTTTTTAACATTTACATATTAAGAGTACTTTTTTTTTTTTTTCTTTCTTTCTTTCTTTCTTACAAGCAAAAATGGTTTGATACATTCATATTTCAATGTGTTAAAAAAAAACTAAAACATATCATAAAATGTAGCATTCCAGCACTTCCCTAAAGCTGGACTATAGTTGGCTAAAAACACTATAGTTTAGAATCCCAAAACTCAAGCAATTTTGAACAAATATTCCTTCAGACAAAATTTTTAAAATGTGAAAAAAAAAAAAAAAAAAAAAAAATATACTGCCTTTAATTTTCTGGTAAAAGCTTGATTGAGAACTGTAATCCTAAATGAATAATATTTTAAGAAGAAAAACCCCACTGTTACTGAAATATATGTATACGTTTTTTTGCTAAGATTCATGATTGCAATGTAAAGAATATTTAAGACCATTTATATTTGTCAGGCAAAATGTAAGTAATGGTGTTCATAAAAAAAGAATGGTTTGTTTTACTTATATTACACAGAAATCTGTTAGATTTCCTTAATTTTTGTAGCATTTCTACTTCAAATCAAATTTTAGCCAAAATCGGCTCTGCCAAAATAATCTATCACACTTATATGAAAACATGCAATAAGATGTACAGATGCATGCAGAAATGTAATTAAAAATATTTTTTACCCATAATCTAGTAGTTATAACCAAAATGTGAAGTCATGAAGCTTTTAAAAAATGTAGAGATGACATAAATAATCTTGGATTGAAGCTATGAACAAGAACTATTAGAGACATGTAAAGAAAGTCATTTTAGTAAAGTTTTAGTTGATCCCCCCACCTTTATAGTAATTTTTCTATTTCTTTAGCACTATAGCTTATCTTTTCAAAGGTTATTGGTAAATTAAGCTTGATTATAAAGTGTTCCTATAAAAAAAAAAAACAATTTTACAAACCATTCATTTTAAAGTAAACATAGCAAAACATGTAACATTTTCTTGTTTATCTTGATTTGTTCAGTTAAGCTACACAATGGTGGATAGATTATTTTATGAGCAGATTGGTTGAGATTCACAAATCTGTCAATTTTATTTGCATTTATTGAGAGGGGAAAACTAAAATGTAGCTTCATATTAATTCATTCAAAAGTTTTAATACATATGAATGAATATATTTACTTATAAGGTATATTTTGTGTGAAAAATCAATAAAATAGGATGCCTGCTATATTTTAAAGAAACTGTAATAGTATACAGGTTTTGCCAACATTAAAATTAGTTTTCACATATTTGGAACAGAAACATGGTAAGAAGCAAGAATCTCTTTATACTATTAATTGAAGATCTGATCTGTGGAGAAACTGTTGGGTATGTATGTATACATACATAAGTAACATATCAATAACTCCACAGATTTTTTTTGCGGGGGGGGGTTGTGTACAAAAAAAAATTTCAGTCACTTTTTGTGTGCAAATACTGGATTTTCAAATTGCAGAAGCTAATCTTGCAAAAAGGCAGCTTGTCATAAATTTTTCTGTATTTATTTTCATTTTTGTATTTAAAGAATAATTGACTCATTATTTACAAGGAAATAATATTCTGCTTGATTTGTTTTCTTTATTTTGAAATCATTTTTTGAGTAAATTTTAAGAACACCTGAAGCCCAACATTTATAAGTGTATTTAAACTACTTGTTAAAAACTATAACGCATTAAGATTTATTCCAAAGTAACAATTATTTTTTTTTAAATTAATTTTAAACAACTGTCTTTCACTGATGAATAAAGTTTGAAGGAAAGGAAATGTGCAATATATATTATATATACGCACACACTGAAATTTGTTAAAATGCACTGTTACTTATACAGGTCAATAAATTAGTATTCAAATATGAATTTTGTGATTTCTTTAAAGCAAATAACTAAAAAGTCATAACAATCATTTAACTTAATTATTTATGTAATATATAGAAAAGTTTTTTTTATTGAATAGTTTTGACACTGGAAATTTGATTGAAACATTTGAAAATTGTACAAGTTTGAAAATCACTGCACCAGTAAGTGAAAGGGATTATTAGACTTTTTGTTTTTTAAAGTCTGGTAAATGAAATTTCTGCAAATTGTTTTGTTAAAATAAGTTTTGAATCTCAAAATTAGTGAGTAATTAATATTACTGAATATTTTAAAAGCAATAAAAGATCAGTGAAGAGTTCCAGATTTGTTAGTACAGTTTTGCTTTTCAGAAAGCTGTCACAAGTTTAAATTCTTTGACAGCTTAATATATTTATATTGTTTTTGGTTTGCATTCCTCTCCTCACCATGGGTTGTATCCACATTTTTACAGAATAAAGTTTAAAGAAAAAAAAAAAAGCTTCAAGGTTGTTTTTTTTAAATATATTTTTCATGCATTTATCATGAAATTAAATAACAAATTAATGTGCTAGGGAATTCAGTGCTTGCTTTAAAAAAAAAAAAAAAGTTTCTTCTTCAGAGTATGATTTATGTTGTTATATTATCTAAACATTTTCTCCATGTTATTCATTTAGATTTAGGCTGTCAATAATATGAGCTCAAGGCCAGAATCCAAAATGCTTAAAACTCATGCTATCATTTTCCTAACAGCTTTTACCTTAAGGCAGCCCATTTTAGGAGTCCTAGAGTCAGAGATACAAAAAAAAAAAATAAATAAATAAGTGCTGTTAACTCTTCTTAGAATTACCTCCCCTGTACGTATTCATTGTAACAATTTTCTAGAAACAATTACTTTCTTCAATTTTAAGATATGAAGTTTGACAAACAAAATTTGATTTGCTTGAAGAAAAAAAAAAATTACTACTAAACTTTGAAATGATATTAAACTTGTTATAATCTCGAAACCTTTCTACCTAGAAATATTCAAAAATGAAGTGTTATTCTGTTAAAAAAAAAAAAAATTTTAAATATTTTTTTTATCATTATATTTCAGTCATGTCCTTAAGCCATTTTGCACTGATCCAAATAATGTCAATAACCTAAGTTGTATATGAATGCAGAAATAGGTTTCAGTTTTCAACTGAATTGAAAAATCATTTGGGTTAATTTTTTTTAAAAAGATTTAGGTTAAGTAGCAAGTAGTGAATTACCTGTAAAGTCATTGAATTTGTTTTTACTTTATTGCCTTAGTTTATGTCAGTGTTTCACAACCAGTGCACCTAGGCACACTAATGTGCTATGAAAGATAGCCATGTGTGCACCAAGTTATATCTAAAACAAAAATTTTTTTTAAATGCTTCAGACACCAAGCACATGGCTTCCGTGTCTAAATCAAGTCTTTAGCATCCAGTTTAAAATATGAAATGACAAATTCCTTAATCTTTAATTCTTTCCCTTTTGAAATCAGTCATTATTGGTCTCTCTAAAAAGAAAAAAAAATTTCTTTATTTTCAAATTACATGACAATTTTTTCCTTATTAAAATTTTAAGTGCACCTCAGAGTTTTAGTTACTCTAAAAGTGTGACCTGAATTAAAAATGGTTGAGAAACACTGGTTTATATAAAAGTTCATAATGGCATGAAATGGGGGAGAGCTCTCTGCTGTTTACTTATTACTGCTAGAAAGGGAAGAAAAATATCTGAATAGTTAGTATCTTAAATTTCCCTTTTAAAAAAAATTAAAAAAAAAAAAAAAAAAAAAAAAAAAAGATTTTTACATTATAGGGAAGCAATAAAAATGATTATACAAGACTTCTGGGGAGGAGGAAGTATAAACATAATTGCTATTGTGTTAGTGTTCCTATGACAAAAAAAAAAAAGTACTAAAAAGTTTTTTTTTTTTGTTAATATCTTAACATTTCATAGTGTTGGACATCAATAGAAATATTATATTGCTCAATTATTTTGATGTAGAGAAAATTAATCATTGACTTTGGTAAACTTTCTGATGGAATTCTGGTGTTTAGATTAAGATAGGCATTAATCATAATGAAACCAAAAAAAGAATTGATTCTTGATGTTTGCCATAAATTTGAAAAATAACATATTTCACTGTTTCTTTCATGTCCACTTCCAATGTCCCCCACATAAACAAGCTTTGGCCCACCTTTTCTCCCAGGCTTTCATGGTTGTTGACGTGGAGATGCTTTGAATGAGGGAAGCAGAACCACAGCGACTGCACTCCCTCACAGGCTCAGCAGCCTTACTGCCAAGATTGATCTGACGCACGACATCATACATCTGCTTAGTTTCTGTTGTGATATCCGGCAGGGTCATGTACTGTTGGTTTTGCTTGCAACTGTACACATAATCTGGTTCGATGCCCAGCTCAAATTGTAGAGGACCCGACTGATGGAACATGGCAAAACCGAGCGTGTCCTGACTAAAACTCTGCCGAGTATTTCGGATCATCACCTCACTGGCCAGATGGCAGCAGTCGTTAACCAGTCCCTCATCATACTCCACACTGCTCCCTTCCTTCACACACAGCCATGCCTTGGTCAATAGTTTGAACAAGTGTGACAGACAGTCGATGGAAGAGTTCATCGTGAAGAATGGCAAGCAGTTGGGGTTGATGTGGCCCCACACACGAATAATTACAAACAATTCACGTAGAACACTTAGCACAGAGCTGTCGCGGATAAGCAGAGAGCCAGGAATGCCAGAATAGGATTGTTGTAAAGGGATGGAACCCAAAAGATGCAAGGTGAAATCTGCAATCCATTGAATTAGTGGTTGGAATGATTGCAATGAAGCTGAAAAAGAAAATACCAAAATCATAATGATACAAACAACAACAAAAAAAAATCTAATTTCAAAATTGTGATATTATTTTTTAGAAAACAACACTGTCTAGTGAGATATCTTGCCAACATGATATTTATAGTATAGAGTAAAAAGAAACAAGACTATATATATATATATATATATATATATATAAAATCTCCATAATAAATTTACAAATCTAGTCAGTAAGAGAGAGAGTTTCAAGTGGTTTATTTCCATAATACTAAATATAAATATTTTGTTTTTCTAACCACTACTAATCCATTTCTAATCAACATTTTTAACACACTCTTGCCTCAGATTAAGTGTAAGATGTGTTCATTGTGAATTAATTTATCTTGTTGAAAACACTTATGATTCTGGAATAGATATTCTAGTACAACATTCATGTGACACCACAGTTTTAATGCTAGAAAAATAACATTCACAAACAATTTTCTTTTGGTAAATTTTGAATATTAGAAAATACAATAATCAAAATGCCTAACTTGGTAATTACAAAAGTCAATTGAAAGCATGGAACCTTAACAAGATCTAACATTCCAATACAGGAATCAATTAAGTAAATGTGCATATTTATACACACTGTATTTTATATATTATGGCTATGTACACAAAACTATCAATAAACTCAATTCAAGCCACATTACATTTTTCAATGAATCATTCTTTCTTTCTTGCTTGCTGGGTTTTGATGAATCCTATTAATTTTGGTCTTGAGAAATGACATTAGTTTATAATTTATTTTATTGGGGGGGGGGGGGCAGACATCGCTCCACCCAGCTGCCTTCCACCTTCTTAGTACCACCTCTCACTATTGCTCACCAGTGGGCGTGAGCATCTCCTTCAACCTCCTTAAGATCTCCTGTGCTTGCTACCCTTCAGTCAGTGCAGACAACCCCTCATCCATCCTTGATCGCTTTTCAATACCTGTCACCTCCAACATTTGGTCAGAGATTGATAAAAAGCAAATATGGTTTCAAATGTACTTTTCTCATAAGTGAATTGACATCTACAATTGATTTTCTCACCTCTGACCCAAGAGACACTTTCCCAGGGAAATTCTTTCAACTCCCATTATGGCAACCATTACTCAGCCGCAGGTGTTCAATTCATTGTTTTTCATTCTGATATCCCACGAAATAAATTCATTTAGCTTTAGCTCAATTCTTCTCATCAGATTTAGGCATTGGTTGTCACAGGCTGTCAACAGTTGATCTGTTCACACAAACTAAGAATCACTTTCAAGCAATCATCTGGTCCATTGCACATATTTCAATTCCCTGGAAACACTCTTACTATCAGCCTGTCTTCCCAATATTAGTTAACCTTTTTCATGCTAAGTTATTCATCATTATCTCATTTGATATTTTAAGTTGCCATTTTGATTATCAACTACCAGCAACCCAAATAGTGTTAAATACACTTGGTAACATGCTTTAAAATTCTACTTAACAAATACTGTTGCCTAAAAGGCTCACTTTTGATAATTTTAAAATACTTAACAATTTTAATGTAAAATTGTAAATTTTGCCTTCTGACTATATTTTTCTCATTCATAAAAACAACTACTTTATCATGCTATGCAGTCTTTAGCAAAACTGGAGTTATATGCATTTTTACATGGTTTCCTTTACCTTATCTTCTTGACATCTTTCTTCATACCATACAGATTTCTTGGTGACAAAGCCTAACTTATTCTACTTTGGAAAGGCACATAAAATATAATGATCATACAAGCACAATAGGATTATAGATATTTTGTGTATGTGTGTGTGCACACATGCATACAAAAGAAAAAATATAACAAACTAAATTAAACAAAACTTTCAGGATTTTAAACTTGTCAAAAACATTGCTTAAACTCACCTGAGTCAACTATAAATTCACTTACTTCCAGATTTGTCAAAAGTATTACAAGTTCTGACTCGCTGCTCTTATTGCACAACATGGAAAGTTTCTCTGAAGGATTCTGGTGGCAGGGAGAAGAAAAAAAACATTAAAACTCATGGAATTTAATAAATGTACTAGAGATGGGTAGTTTAACCAAAAAAACGACTTATCGGTTTCATCTTCACACCATGAAACCACATCAAAATTTTTTTACAAAATCATTTGGTTTAAGTGCTATCACTACTGAGTGACCATATCCAAAGAAACACTATTGAAAAAGACTTTCAGATCTTAATAAAATTAAATTTTATCAATATTTATACCATTGTAAGAGAAAAAGACTGAACAAAAATATGTTAAAAACACTTACTAGTTTTAAGAAATAAATATAAAATATTTGTTTACAGAAAAAAAAAGGAAAATATGACATGATGTAGTGAAATTTATTTGTTTGTTTAAAAGAAAAAAATTGTGGTAAAATTAAGTTAACAACAAAATAGTGAGTAGAAAAAAAAAAAAAAAAAGTTACTAGTTTTGTCTTAATGTTAAATTTTATGGAGTTGGATTTTTTGTAAGGATAAAAAATTGTTTTCTAGTAAACCAGTACACCAATCATGAAATAAAGTTGTTGTAAACAAGAAAAATGAAGATTTTTTTTTATAAATAAATCTTTCTTTATCTAGGGAATGCACCTAAATTAGATATTAAGGATAATTAAACTGTTCTTAATTTCACTTTTAAAATGTCTATATTTACAGATATGCGAGTCTTTAAGCATTTGTTTTCTACAAATTATGTTTCTATCTAGCGAATACACCTAAAATTGGATATTAAAACAAATAAAGTAAGTTTTAATCTCAGTTTTAAAATGTGCATATTTTCAAAACTGCAAGTCATGTTGTTTTAAACCTAAAGTAAAAATTATTCTTTTTAACCACTTTTTGTGCCTTAATACACTTATTTTCTATGGCAGACCATAAGTGTAAAAATACAAATTATTATCAGCATTTCTGGATATATACAGGAGAATTCTTTAAATATCTAAATAAATAAATCTAAATAAAATAGTTAATAGCTTGAAAACAAGTGTCTGTCAGTGTCAGTTGAAAGTTCTTTTGCTACACATTTATTACTATCAGTTGCTCTTTTTTTTTTTTTCTTCTTTTTGCTTACTTTATAATTTTTGAAGGAATTCGCTTCCACAGGTCAGAGAAATGAACATCTTCCTGGTTATAGTTTAAGGTGTCTTCTAATTGAGTGTACAATTTCAAGAATATTGATAAAAATTGGTCACTTTGATTTTGAGAAAAAATAATGTGTAAAATTTAGTCTTGGGGGCGGGGGGAAATATCGACTGGAAATGCTTTCATTACACAAGAAAATGAATGGCTTCCTCAAAGCAAAAATACTAAATTATAAAATGAAAAACCAAAAAACCAAACTGCAACTGACTTAAAGCTCATAGTTGTCTATTTTGAGCTTTGGTAGACCACCTTCTAGACATGCCACTAACACATTGGATATAGAGAATCGAGTAGAAACTTTCTCTCCAGTATTCCCAATTTTGCATAATAGTTCTGAGTTTATCAACAGAATATATTTCAGTATCATTGAACAGGCAATCAATGAGTGAGTCTGGCTCCCCCAGTTCTGTGTGCCATTTGTAGGTTCAGTAGGTTTTGACGCTTTCTCATTCAGATGGTATATGCAAGGTTCAAACATCTTTCTCCGATCTTTGTGACCCTGGGGAAATCCATCTCCTGATCAGGTACCTTATCATGGTGAAGGAGCTTATGTGCCCTGTTGATCCAGTGAGCATGTTCTCCTGGCTGGTTCAACCAAGTTACACAGGTCAAAAGATAGGGGCCTCACCTAGACATGATCACCAAGCAGAGTTGTGACCACTGCATGTATTAGCAACAGAAAAGCCAAAATAACAGTTATATATATTTGTCAGCTTATAAGAGATTTTAGTTGAAACCTTTACATTGATCAATCTCCAGAGATTTCAATTTCACAAACAAAAAAAGAGAAAGAGAAAAAAAAGGACAAGGAAAGAGTCTACTAACTGGATGGTAATTGTTGAAATTCACAAGAAGATGGATTGAAAAGTGGAGAAAATTAAAAACAAACTGCATTGAAAAATTGTGTTTTGAAATAATTCTAAGGAGAATCAAACACAAATTTAAGTAGACAAAATTCATTAAGATTGAGCTACCCATCCTTCCTCATTTCCCATGAATGAAAAAGAGACCATTAAGGTATTCACTAAAAAAATGTCAGATAAAATAAAAGCATGTATTGCCGATAAAGAGACCAGGGCAGTCACCGAAATAACACTTACGATTCCACTGGACAAAAGAGAAAAAATTAATTACTATTTTGAAGTGAACATGGACAAAAAGGCTGTGTGGCCTGTTGATCATAAAAATGCATAGACAAGGATCAACTTTCATTTTAAGGGAAGTTGAAATGATTTTTCTTCCCTTTTCCAATTCTTGAGTAGTCTGGTCAATCAAGAAATCACAGCATGGGACAAGCTGATCAAGAAAGATTAATGACTGAAAATTTATCTAGAAGTTGGATTCATCACACCAGTCCTAAGAGCAGGCTGAGGTTAGCTGCTGAGAAATTGGGAAAAGGAAGAGAATGATTAACACCACCTATATGGAGTTATGGTGCAAGGTGAGATGTTAAAGGGACAGGTTGATTCCTCTATTCCAAATTTGTAAAACCACTTCAGTATGAAAATTTAGAAAAAAGTTTGATGCTTAGTGTAGAAGACATCCAAAACCAGACCCTAGTCAACCCCACTCTTGTCAGACACAGGACACCATATTTGAATCCTCATTATTTGTCAAGACCTCCTGACCAAAACCTTGTGCCAGCCCTGAAGACCAGAAATTAGAAATTTAAATTACTATTAAAATGAGCTGTAGACTCCAAAGGGGGTCCCCAGTGTCATTTGATTATAACAAGGGGGGAGGGTTAAAACTGCTGTATGCAACACATCATATATAAACCAAATTGTTACATTTTTAACCCAATACTTTATTCCAAAGGATTCTTGTTTTTTGTGTAGCTCCAGCTGTTGAACCAGCATTATCTGACATTAATAAAATAGATTAATAATTAAATACAATGTGTTAGCTCAAGTCATAGACAATAAAAATGAATGCCCATCAATAATTAAAACTCAATATAAAAGATTCAGTAAAACAACATGTATTCTGAATCTACTGCTAACAATGCTATGAAAAAATTAGCATGATTAATAATGGGCTTTTTTCTTTTTTTATAAACATCAAAATTCAAAAGTTGACCATGATTCATTACCTAAAATGTATTATCTAATCAAAGTCAGGTAATTAAGGATATTGAATACATATGATACAAAAGATCATGATCATCTGGTGGTTAGGACTCCCACAGAGTCAAGTGAATTGTAAATAATTTTATCCGAGTCTGTAGCACTGGTAGTTTTATAACAATTGACAGTAAAATCAAGATGCGAGAGCTTCAAAGCAACCACCCACTGTCCAGAAAAAAAGGAAATGAATTATATGAATAAATAAATAAATAAAATTTCTGTATCAAGTACCAATTGGCCAGAAGGCAAAGAAATCCATTTATGAACTGCATTCTAGATAAAAGGCCAGTTACAAACCATCCTATTGAGATGTAGATAAAAACAGTAGGGGAGTTAAAATAGAGAAAGAAGCAGAATTATTGCTGGTTGAAGGGAAGATCTGGTCTGTTAGTCCGTCATGAGAATAAAAAGAAATAAAGTGAAGTCTCAAGCATCACTTACCTACCCACCGACGAGACAGTGCCAGGTGAATCCATGAATAGAAAACCCAGTGTATTGAAAAGAAAAGTTTGGGTTTTCTTTTTTCCACCTTGGTGATATTTCACTGTCCATTCCTTTGTTGAATGTACACTACTAGCTTTTCCCAGTTTTTGTTCACAGTGATGTAAACAGAAATCAAACAACAACATCAAGCAGAAGCTCACCAGTTAGTGGAGGAAAAAAAAACAAAACAAAAAAAAACACACACAAACTACCCTAGGGAGTTTATATATATATAGAGAGAGAGAGAGAACATTTAAAAAAGTGAGTAATTTATTCTAAAAGGCCTCAGAAAGTGAATACTTACGTTGTCTTGAGAAGATATCTGTCTTGGACGTAGGATACCTTTAAAGACTGTGGCAATTGTGTAGAGCAAGAGTTTAGCCTGGCAATCTGCTGCTCGGTGATAACTCGTTTCGCTGCTCTTGTACAGGGCCATTTTGATTGCTAGGAGACGCGAACACATCAGTTCTTGGACCGCAGTTGGTTGCTTTTGAAAATTGTCATTTAATTTTTGGCACATGTCTTCAATAATATCTGAAAGCAGTGCAATAAACATTTTCAATACAATGTGAAGAAGAGAACAAATGACAAGAGGTTTTAATCATTGTGCATCTGTACACAAATTGCAACAATTGACAAATAGATAAACAATCCCAGTTATTATAAGAAAAAGTGAAAAGTTATCTCCAGAACCATGACTGATAAATTTTTAATTTTCATAAACAGTTATTATCTACAACTACAATCTCTAATTGTAATAATGTAATTACATTTGATGTTTTTACAAAAATTCACATGGTGTCTGGTTAACCTTTAGCACTCTGCATTATTCACTGGCATTAGCTCCCCTTCCATTGCATTCTTTTTTTTTTCCAAAGTAGTGTTTATTTCAGTCAAGATTGTTTTCTGTTGACAATACAACCACAAAATTCAACCACATTATATATCAGCAACTGGGGTCATCTGAAGTGACAAGACAAATATTTTGCTTCTCAGTAAATGAAGTTGTTTACAGAGTGTAAAAATGCTGACAAATAATTGATTGAGTGCTATGTCAAGGTTAGAATTGAATGGAATACTACAAAAGCACTATGCTTCTAGTTCTACTTTCAAAATCAGATGGATGTTATTTAGTTACAGGTAAGAAGAAAAAATACAAAGTCAGTTCTACCTTGTATTACTATCTCACAGCTCCAAATGGGGTAGAGTTTAAAAATATATAAAGAATTAATCCATTTTTATTACTTCAAAACATTAGTTTTAGTAGACACATGTATTTTTTTTTTTTTGTATGTTTTTTAAAAAAAAAACTATTCATTATTCCTTCTGTGGAATGCACATCCAAGAAAATTTATATAAAAGAAAAAAAAAAAAAAAAGTGCCCTCCACCAGGATTCAAACTGGCATCCTCCTTTGCAGGAGAAAATAGTCTGATCTGACATAACCACTTAGCTACAAAGATTTTCACAGTCAAGTAAAATTCTATTTGCCTTGAAAGCACACTCATTTATTCAGATTTTCACAAAATGACATATTGGCTCAGTTTCATATACAAAATGAAAAAGCAATTTCTAAAGAATTAATGTGTTTTCTTATCCAACATTTTTATTACTTCAAACATTATTTTTAGTGGTCACCCATATTCGAGTAGACACCTTTTTTTTTTTTTTTTTAAATGATATTTTATCTACCAGCCTGCATACCCAAAATTTTCCTTAAATAAGCACCCTTATAAAACAGAGCAGATATATCCTTTCAAGAAAATCTGAATAAGCGAGTGTACTTTTAAGGCAAATAGAATGTTGCTTGATTGTGAAGCTCTTTGTAACCAAGTGATTAAAGCATGTTGGATCAGACAGTGGTTTCTTCTGCAAAGAACAATGCAGGTGCAAATCCTGCTTGAGGGCTCATTTTCTTTAATAAGTTTTGAGTGTATATATATATATATATATATAAAGTCTGGAGCCCAACAAAGAAAAAGCACTTTACACAATCTCATTCCTTGTTAATGAATTTAACACCTTTTCTCTAATCACAGAGATCAAACATTATACAGTGAAAATTTCAGATAATGAAAAAAAAAAAAAAAAAAATCAGCTATCATTACCAGGTTATAAACTTAAGATAGATATAAAATTCCCCCCCCACACACACACACTTACTTTGTTTGGCAGCCAAGAGAATATCCCACCAATCCCAACCAGCAGTGGCAGCATATTCAAGCAGGAGCACAATATATGCAGGGGAGATCTGAACTCCTGTCTCATTGACATTAACAGAGCGAAATAAATAGATATTGTTGTCTCGAACACCAACCAACCCACAGCTGCTGTGAGTTTGTAAGAGTACAGAGAGATGTGATGCTTGATTGCGGTTTAAATTCTTTCTCTCTGGTATATTCAATTCTCGTAATTGATCCACAGAGCAATTACAGATCACCTGAAATTAGAAGGAAAATAAATTTGTATTTATTTCAAAAGATAGAATGAAAGAACAACCAAATAAATGGTTATACAGAGTACTTACATGACAGTATACACAAATATAGATGAAAGATCTTTCATTGACCACAGAAACTGCAAGTATCATTTTAAGAACAGTGCAACAGGACATCCAACAAACAAAAAAATAAATATATAGTTGAAAAATTGTATATTGCTTTCCTAACCACTTATGCAAAAATTTAACAGACAATGCCACACCTTGAGATCTAGCATCAGTCCAGTGGTGGACTGTCTAAAAATATTGGTTGCCACAAGACAAAAGGGGCCCACCTACAATGCTATGATTTAATTTTCATAATGAATAAATAAAATTTTCAAAAAATACAAGTGGAGGAAAAAAAAAAAAAAAAAAAGTATACTTTAAATTTTTGTAGGAAAAAATGTGTATTTCTTTGTAATTACATACATGTAATTACATATATGTACTGCGCATATTAGCAGTAGATACCAAATTTTAAGTAATTGGTTATTTTTAAATAGTTTACTGCACAATTTACACATTAACAGATAGTTCAAAAGCAGAATAGCATTTTATATGCAGTCCAGTATATTTAGAACAACTGTGTGTTCACTAGATGACTGTGTGAATCTGTCAATAATTGCTTCTGCATTCAATTTATCTAGCAATTGCATTTTTATGAGTAGCAACATGTATGATTTCAAATTTTCCTAAGACGGTGAATTTCTTAATTTTGTCATTATGATCTTTAGCTTTTAAAATGTTCTCTTTTATTACTAAAACAGATGTCTGTGTTTGTTTATTGCATTTTTATTTGATACAGGGGGCCCAAGCTGACACCCTGTCCAGTCCACCACTGTTTGAAGCCTTTCAAAGAATTAAGGCTGTTTACTGATATGTTTACAAACTATAAATAATCAACACTGAAGAAATATTTCTAAACTAATTTGCTTGTGCAGATTATATAAATTATAATCATTATAACTTATTGTTTTAAGCTAATTTAAACAAGAAAATGTTGAGTTCATGTTCAGTGGCATTCATTTACCCTAAATAATACTTTAAGAGCTAAATATGGGGATTTTAAGATACAAATACAAAATGCTCCATTATCCTGGAAAATTTATTTTGGTAATAATTTCAATTACTCATTTGTATATTATTTACAGTAGTTAGCATATTCATGTTGTTAATTTCACAGAAAGACAGGCTTTGAATATGAAATTGCATAAGTGACACTGCTACATTATTTGATGAAAACACGACTTGTTAATTCAAATATTGTTAAGCTTGAAGTCATTATCTGAAGTAATGACTCAAAAGAGGAGAAAAATTCTTTAACCTTTTTGTTTTTTTTTCCAATCATTTCGTCCCAAGCAAAGCAATAATGCGACTAAAATGCAAAGGGTTACTGGGAGTGAAAGAGAAGACAACTTTAGTGAGAAGAAAGGACAATAAAAATCAGGGTTCAGGACAGATTACAATTGCATTTAAATTTTTGAAGATTGTAGATGGCAGGTAAGCAAGAAACTGTAATAAGACTTCCACAAGCAAGAAGTATGAGAAAAAAAAAAAAAAAAATTAGAATAGAATTTATGGTTACATCTATCTAATTCAACAGTAACAAAAATGAGACTTAGTTGTTAATCTAGTAGTATGCTTAAATTCATGCAGTCAATGTACCAAGGAGGAGAGCTCACTTACCTGAAAACTGTATCGATGAATCATTTTAATAGTACCATCCCTGTAGGCCACAGCAATATAAGGGGTGAATCCACTTGTTTCCATTACGCAAGGCATGGTAGGAAGCTTGGGCCCAGCAATGGCAGTAACCATGGCATTATGTGTAATTGTTGCTTTATGCATCCACTTGGGTGTTTTATACACTGTGTTGGGTTTACTGTTTGTATGGAACATTCGGTGTAATGAATGTGTTTGCTCAACCAGCTGCCAAAAGTCAATCCAGCTATAGTTTTGTGCCCCGACACAGATCACCAGTGTGTCACTATAGTCCTTGTTCACGAACTGGAGGTGAGTGACACACAGATTCTGGTGGTCTGCACCACCAGAGGCCGGGCCGCTTGAGTTACGTCCCACGCTGCCGACCCCACCAGTGGTTTCTGTGTGGCACTTGACGTACAGACTAGCGCTGGCACGACTTGAGATGACGCAGCTGGTCTGCTCCATGGACAAAGACACAAGGAAACACTGGATGGCAGATGAAGGCAAACCATCGCTAGTGGCGATCATCAGGTCCCCGTTTGCTGTGTAGGCAATGTCAGCAAGGCATGCCCGTAAATGAGCAGGGGAAAGACTCTCAATACTTGACTGGATATGAGGTTCTGAATTCTGAATTAAGCTAACAGAAACCTAGAGAGAAAAAAAAAAAAACGAAACATGTATTCAGTTTGGACTTGGCAAGTATTTTAGAACAACTTGATTCTACTTAAGGGAAGTTTGAACCAAAAATGACACATTTGCTTAGTTTCATATCTAAAACAAAGCAATTTCTAAAGAATTAATGTATTTAAAAAAATTTTTTATCTGAAATTTTTATTATTTGAAACATTAGTTTTAGTAGATACCAGTATTTGAGTAGACACTTTTTATTTTTTTAAAATTTTAAACAGTATTTATTTCATCTACTGGCCTGCATCCTCAAGAAAACAAAAACAATATGCCCTGATGAAACAAAAATAACATTGTAAAAGTAAATAGTATGAAAAATATATCACAATAGGGAAAAATCTAAAAACATCAGAGATACTTATGACCATCAACTGCTAAGAAAGCTGTTATATTTCCAGGTGTTAATTTTAGTAATATTCATAGTTTACTAATAGTGATCAAAATGGATCAGGTTGTCTAATGAAAAGTGGTAAATACCTATTTAAATAAAAAATTTCAATGTAACAGTAAATATTGAAAATAAAACCTATTTTATCAATTTTATATATTTTGCAAAAAGTTTTATATTTAAAATAAAGCCAAAAATGTTTTTAATAAAATAGTAGGTATTGTGTAAAGATTTCTTCAATACCTGGAAAATTACCAAATATCCTTTTCATTCTTACATAAAAATGAATTGTTTTTTTAAATCCATATGCAAATCCTTTAAAACAATACCTTAATATGGATACTCAAATTACATAGGGATATATATTTTAATATATCTTAAATATTTTTAAGGGAAAGTAAAAGTGGTAATATCAATTAATCTCTAAATTACAATAATGAGAAGATAAAAGTTTAGTCCTTAAAAATGATTAAATGGCCAAGTTTTACTAAAAAGAAAAACCTTATTATGAATTTATTGTAAGATTTTTATTAAAAGTGATATAATACCAGCCCAGTAGAAGTGACACCAATAAAACCATCCAATGGACGTCCTCCATAATGACTGAGAGAAGGTGAAAAGGGAGTGTGAGGGAATTTCTCTCCATACTTGAGATTATCACGTTTGTCAGCATTGAATTTTATCTGTGTAGAAGAAAACAAATCATTAATGTCAACAAAATCTATAGAAAAAGCAATGCTCATGTGTCTATATTCAAAACAGCTTGTAATGAAAAAAAGATTGAAAAACTTAGTAAAATATTCCATTTACTGAAATCCCACAATAGCTATAGCATACATTTACCAAATATTTTATATGCTGCAAATTTAAACAAACAAAAAAAAAAAAAATACATTTAAGTACAACTTGAAATCTGTACATAAAATAAATGCAGAAATTTTATTAAAAAAAGAAAAAGAAAGAGCTTATCAAATTTAATCACAACTAATGTACAAGAAAATTAATTGCAATAAGTTTAATACTTACCAAAACTCCATTATGTAACCAAGCCAAAGAAAGTATATCTTCACCAGATAAGTCTACTTCTCCAAGTCGGTTCCATTTGTTCAACATATAGTTCTTTAAAAATTTGAAAAAGATAAAATTAATTTAACAAAAAAAAATAAATAAAATTAAAAAAAAAAATAAAAAAATAAAGTTTTTTTTTTTCTTTTTACAACTCTAAGAAAAAAATTCAGTGAAAAATCAACCAACCAACTATAAGAACAATCCTTAAAAAAGGCAAATCACATCTCATAAAATTAAAAGACTTATTTATTTTATTGAGGTTATCAACAGCAAAGTACAGACATGGGTATTGAAAACTAATAAATCATAAAACATGTAATTAGATGCAATATACAAGATAATTTAAATAAAACTCACATAAGATTTACCTTCTGTTTTAAAAATTCTTATCTGGACATATACATTTTATTATGAACTTTTATTTGCCAATCTTGAGTAAACTGAATTTCTTTTCTTTTTGTTGCTCAACTATTTTCATTATTTTGAAGACTTAAATATACACCAAATCATTATTATAATCTTTTAGTAATAACCAATAAGACAAGAAAAAAAAATTAAAATTATTTAATATAGGAATCCACTAATAATTTAATAATGTTTTATTAATAATATAAATAAATTAAACAGATTAGTTTCAGTTTTTTCTTCAATTAAATCCAAAAGTTCATGAGAAATGGCAGATGGCAACACTGGAGTTTTTTTCTATCTTACAGCTGAATTTTGACAAGGCAAATAAAAATTTTATTCTATCCAAAAAAATTAAAAATAAACTTTATCAACAGAAACACTGCTTATATAGGAAGTTTTATTAAAATATGCTTTTAAAAAATTTTATGCAAATTAAATACAGTTTCTGTTGTTAATGGCATTTGTTAGTAATATATCAAAATAAGGTGACAGGAAAATGAATTGAACAATGTCGTCTGTTTTCTATTAGAGATTCAAGACATACAGACGAAATTTAGCCTTACGTGAATTTATAAAAGATGATTTATCTTATAGTATAGTTATCTCCCTTGCATGGATATTCGCAAATAAAGTTTTAACTTTATAACTAGCCAGGACAATTCAATGAATATCAATTTTGAACCTCGGGAGGCCCATCTCTCAGGCATTAATCCCCCCTCCACACACACACACTTCGGGAGGGGCTGGAGTCATTACCCACTGCCTAAGCCTTTCTCAAAAGGAGAATTACTGAGGTGGCTTGAGCAATTTTTGTACAGCTACCAAGTCTTACTTTAAACTTCAATCTTGTGTCCCATTGTATATGAATGGGGATAAATACAATTGATGTACTTTGCACAATTGAAAATGAAAGCCGTCTTTAAACATAAAAATAATTAAATCCAGAAGAAGTGGATACAACTGGATTCAAGTAAGAGTGAGAATTGTGAATTCTGGACATAATTTCTATTTTGAAAATACATAACTGCCATCAAAATACAGACAATATATTAAGCATATGGGGGGAAAAAAATCCTCAACTTCACACAAAAGTGGATACGAAGAAATAAATGCACAAAGTACAAAAAAAAAAAGTTTAAATAGCTATCCAGTCATCCCTAAGCTCACTCTAAAAAAAAAAAAAATTATTTTAAGAAAATGTACCTGTATTATCCTAATAAATCCCTGATAAATATAAAAAAAATTTATATTTAATAAAATGGTTTAAAAAAACTTTGCCAAAAATATTAACATTATTATCCACAAAAATATTGTGATGATTTACTCATGTTTTAAACAGTAATTTTTCTGTAATAGTCAGATTATTGAAAAAGAAAATAATTCAAATACAAATTGTTTAGTTAAGAAATTACACTGGGCAAATAATATCCTAATCTTAATATAAGTTGGTGTTTAATTTCTTCTGAATGACTGAAGAAATTAGTATAGAGGAGATTGCTGAAAAAGTTCTGGCAAAACCAAATCCTAAAATCTGACAAAATTACCAAACACAAAAATTCTTTTTTGAAATGAGGTACATCTTTATGAAGTAGATGAATTTTTCAGCACCTACAAGTTTCTTGTTTTGTGAAAATTGGCATGTTTTTGTTAATTGATTCAAGCATTGAACATGAGAAAATATAAGTAACATTTTGGCAGATTATGTAACCTTATTTTAAGACTGGTAAAAATACAACTGAAATGCAAAAAGATTTATGCAAGTTATAAAAGAAAATACTGTGAATGTTCACATATTAAAATTGGTTTGTAATATTTAGTGCTAGAAATTTTTAGTTGTTTCACTGCTTCATGGTCAAACTTAGATCTTCAAGCCCACAAAAAATGGAATGTCAAAAGGATATTTTTTTTTCCCATCAACCCAGTTATTATTTTAACTCCCTCCACTTCAACATTATTTATTCTTTTGGGAATTGACAACAAAAACCAATTTATTAGATTGTTTACTGGAATGGTTGGCAAAACATTGGCTAATTGCCAATTAATTCAAACTTTATTAGATTATTTACAAGAAAAAGTTTATTCATAAATTTATAAACTTTTACTAAATTATTAAAATATTATAAATAGTACTTAATATTTTTGTTGTAAATTCTCAAGAAAAAAAGTTCACTTTCATATATTTAGGTTTTATAATAATTCTAAATCATCACAAAAAAAAAAAAAAAAAAACTTCCAGCGAAGTGTCAATGGAAAACTGTCCTTTTTCCTTTTGACACTATTTTTTGGGGGAACACAAAGGTCCAAGTTTACTTAATTTTGTATGACAACAAACTCAAAATAATTAAATCAAACATTGAAAATCATTTGTGCAAGCTTGGTTATGTTTATCATACTTATTATAAAACCCAGGTTGTGTGTGTGTGTCTGTACGTTTATATATTGGATCGGATTTCCCACATTTTTCAACTGATTTCAACAAAACTTCACAGGACTACGTAAAATTACCCTGCAGTGGTTCTGACAGTGCCAAAAATTGGAAAAAAACAATAGTTTTTGCACAAAATCAATTTGAAAACACGATTAAGAGGCATCGCCAGAATGAAAGGGGGACAACTCATATAGAGTTATATTTATTATAAACCCAGGTTGTTTGTGTGTGTGTGTGTGTGTGTGTGTGTGTGTGTGTGCGCATTTATATATGGATCGGATTTCCTACATTTTTCAACCAATTTCAACAAAACTTCACTTTTTTTGGCAGGTGGTGTTTCTTATTGTCTAGCACACTTTCTTTATTTTTACATTCATGCTTTAAAAATTCCATTTACAAGACAATTGTTTATAATAAAATTCTATTCAATCGGTAGACTCATAACGATTGAAAACAATGTTTTTGTTTGCGTTTGACCAATTCGTAAAAAAAAAAAAAAAAAAAAACTAATTAAGACATGTGTCCGTCAACCTTAAACAATCTTTGTCAATTTTATTTTTCAGTCTTTATGATGGTCAATACTTGATCTATCTCTTACTGTTACATCCCCGGGCAACGCCGGGCTCTACTGCTAGTCACTAATGTATTAAAATGACCACACACACACAAAAAAAAAAAAAAAACAGAGCAACTGAACCCTAGTGAGTCACTCCATAGAGATGAAAATGTTCGATTTTTTAAAAATCATGATGGGATGAATAATGGCTACTTTACAACAAGGTAGAAAACAAGATATCATGAGGCAGATGAAATTTTAACAAATAAACTGATGCTGTATATATCGTGGCATTGGAAGGTAATCTGCTACAATGAGGTCCTTCTAGAGAACTAAAAGATTGAGAGCAATTCTTGTTCAAAATCAACTGGATCAATGGAAAGCAATATTGAATGATAAGAATCTGGAATTACCTTAATTATTTGTGTCTAATACACACTTTCCTACTTTAAGACCTTTAAAGCCTAGGAGTGCATATTATACACAAGAACTAAATGCTAACTATTTTTTCCCCAGTCACGTGTGTAACCATATTTGGGACAGCATGACAGAAAATAAGTTACAGCTATGGCCCAAACTAACTAATTTATAACAGAGCTTAAATCACCCCCCCCCCAAAAAAAAAAACAGACAGACATTAAGCACATTTGCTTTACTGTTGTCCATGTCAAAAGATAGATGTCATGACAGTTTTATCTATATTACCAGCATAGTAAAATAATCTTGTTCTTATTTTTTCCCATCTTCTTGGGAGTTGGTTCCACAAAGTAGCAGTTCATGGGAAAGAGTTGTTAGAATGGAACTTGCATCTCACGAATGGAATATGAAGGGAATGAGGTGGTTCACTACAATGTGTGCAGCATGATGGGTCTTAGCTGTAAAGGTTAGAATTGGTGAAACTAAGGAATGTAGTTCACCTGAACACTTTCCATGAAAATAGCAATAGCGTAGCAAAAGGTTTGCAACATTTCATCTGTGGGAAAGGGGTTGTAGGGTGGAAAATAATTAATTACCCACACAGATCACCTGCATAGATACTTTTGGGCTATCGATTCTGGAAAACGAGGACTGAACATATATGTAGCAGTACTCCATTTTCAATCTGATCTGGCTCTTGTAAGGGTAGAATATAGAAAGAGGTGTCAGGTACTTACTAGAGCAGTACAGGGAACTGACTATTTTTCCAGCATCTTTAGAGATGGACCATTGGTACAAGTTCCACTTGAGGTCTAGAATGAGTTTAAGTCCTAATAGGTTCTCAAGGCATGGGACCTCCCGAGAGAACACCCATTTATCACAAAAGATGAAAATTCAGGGTCCACTCATGATGGAGCATCACTAAGTATATATTTTATTTTCATGTATGGAAAGCGTTACATATGCATAGGAAATTTGCTTTGCAATAAATGGTGTCTGATTAAGCTTAGACATGAGTGGAATTATATCATGACTAATTTAAACTGATAAATAGTTTTAATTTTTTTTTAGTCCTTTTATATGCCACACATAGATGTCTGCTACAAAGAAATAGCCACTAGAATGTGTGTGTGTGTTTTTATAGCACTGTTTTTCTAGTGTGTATTTTAGTTTCACTGCAAGCTTGTTGCATTTTTGTGCAAACATATCCACCCATTTGATTTAAGTACTGTGTAAATTTTG